AACACAACCACATAAAATAATTGAGTGCAACTCGCGAAAGAAACTTTCGGGACAACTTAATACTTTCAGTTTCTTCTGTACCCTTCCTGTGTAAATCACAATATTTTAAATTCTGCCCTGCTGTTATCTACAGTGATTGATTTTTATAAATAGAGTGTCTGAAGAAGGCCTGATGTAGGCCAGAAACGTTGACTCGCAAGCTTGTTTTTGTATTCTATTAATAGTAAGCGTAACTGAAGCATAGCTCAAACCATTCTCAATCATTTTATAAGAAATACAGTTCTAATATTTAAATGGAGGTAATAGGAGAATCGCGAATAAAATGAGCGCGAAAAAGAAAAGAATACAGCTATAGGCGCCTCGAAGGCGGCGCTAGTGTCGTGCCCTGTATAACTTCCACAGCACATCCACAACTATACAGTTTCAACTTCGAAACGATCCCCGTTCCTCAGCAGATAAACAACCTCCAACGCTATTGTTACCGAATGTCCCCTGATATAAATATAATATAGAAAACATAAATATAAATATCTTCGTATAAATGATTCCCATATTTCAAGCTCTATCGGTATACATTCAAGAGCCTCCCTCATAATTATCAAGTCTGTATGCATTCCCAGTACAAGTCACTTCTTCCTACAAACAACAGTAATCTCTATAAAGACGATAAATTCTAGAACCCCTGTTACAGAATATTCTCTTTTAACATTTCCCAATCCAGAAAATACAGCTTACAGTTCCCACATACTCTCACCAATTTGACCTCTATGATTTTTACATTCCCGTCTCGATTTGCAGACGCGATTAACGATCGTTCCGTACGTATCGACGTTTCCACGGGAATTCGTCGCACGAGTTCGACGTTTCGAAGGAAAAATTCGAGTTGCCGCGAGTGTACGTGCTGAAAATCCGCGATAAAAGGTCGAAACGAGGCAGTCTTGGAGAGCCTACGGCCACGAGGATACGGCAAGTGTTTAAAATCGAACGGAAATCCAGTCGAACCGTCACTACCGCCATTGCAGCGGTTACTAATAATAGAGTAGATACTGGAAGGATAGAAATACGACTTCCTTCGGCACTCTGTACCCTTCTGCGTCCCAAGAATAACGGGCTTCGTTCGTTTCACAGCCAAGACTAGCGAAATAAGGGGTCAGGGGCGGCAACCTAGTTCAAATATTCGATACAGCTAACTATGGGCTCGCGGTGGGAGGATATACACTCATTCATGATACAAGCGTTTGGGATGATGCACCGAAACGGAGCGCCTTTCGAGATCACGATGATTCAGTGGTTGTTTTTAGCGAAAAATGTTTTTGAGAACTGGCGTTGAGAGTATCCGCGCTTTGGAGCAGGGGTTTGCTAATATAGCACATACCTTTCGTATGTGCCCTTCAAAGACAAAAGAATTTTTCTTTCTGTATTATGTTTGTTTTAATCCATTCAAAATTGAATTGTTTCTGTTGATTTTAATTAATCGAATTCGTATCATTTCTTTGGAGTGAAAATTAAGAAATTGTTTGTGCTTGATATTTATAGATACGATATCTTTATTATGTTTAGTCGAATTCATTTAAAATTAAGTTGATTCGGTTGATTTTTATCGATTGAATTTTATAGTTATTGAATGTAAAAAATTATTTAAGGAAATCCTCTAGGACATGCTTTGATTTTTAATAACATTACCATATAAATAGTATGGTATGAGAAGAAAATTATTTCTCTTCAAAAACGAAAACATTAAAGTGACTTTTCAGTGCATTTCATTAATAAATACATCCCTTTTATACGAAGCAAAACCACAGACGAAAAATCTTTCGGACCGAACATCTACGTTCCTGATTCAAACATATGGCCGCGGTCACAATGCAGCATTCCGCGTTTCAACGCGATTCGCATTACCGCGAGGATAGCATCGACTCCGTCGAAAACTAACTTTCACCGGAAGAAACGGTCTGTCGTCAATTTTCTTCGATTGAAAAGACCCAAACGAGTGGTCGACAATTAAACTCTGCTCGCACCGAACTGGAAACCTGATACTACGAGCCGTTTTGCGTTCCGTCATCCCACTCGATTTCACGATACGCCTGTCTGATAGCGATTGCCCATTGCGCCGTCTCTAAATCGAGTTAGCGAAAATTACGAGCGGTGGATCAACCCTATTATTGGACACGATCTCGTCAGCACGTGCTGTCTCTTATACATATGTGGCAATAAGTGAACCGCCAGCGACCTGGGAAACGTGCGAACTCGAAAAACGTGCAACATCGGCGATCGTACCTCGTCGAATCGACGTTCCCTCGAAATTATCGCGTTTTACAATTACTGTTGTCATAAGAATGTTGTATATGTGATATTCTATAACTGTGGCGAAGTTGAACTCTTAACTTCTTGAGAAGGATACTTGATTGTACATGTGGTGGAAACCTGGGCATTTTTGAAATGATATTATTTGATAAATAACTGTCAGAATGTGCTTCTTAAATTTTGAATATAACATTTAAATACTATATACGAAGACAAATTTGAAACTTATAAGCTAACGTTATTATTCTAAAAATGATATTTATATCCTTCATCTATTATTATTTTGTATACTCTATTTATAACCTCTATTATATTTGTATCAAACATGTAGAGCAAACCTGGGCATTTTTGAAATGATATTATTTGATAAATAATTGTCAGAATGTGCTTCTTAAATTTTGAATATAACATTTAAATACCTTATACGAAGACAAATTTGAAACTTATAAGCTAACGTTATTATTCTAAAAATGATATTTATATCCTTCATCTATTATTATTTTGTATACTCTATTTATAACCTCTATTATATTTGTATCAAATAAATGTGATAATCCTTTTCTTTAGTAATTATGAGTGTTTTATATCTGTCTGCAATGTTTGAAATAATAATAAGTACATCAAAAAACTTCACTTAGGTAAGTTCGTTTAATCATATAATTTTTACGCAATTCATTTACGCAAAATGCAATTCGTTTTCCTAACAATAGTAACAGTAGAGCTTCGTTTTAGGTTCAGTGGCCCATTGCAGATACATTTTTACAGACATGCCCCAGCTACAAGTCAAAAAGTCAGAGTTAGATCGATACCAGTAGTTGCGTCTACTGCAGTTATGAATATAGAACATTCTCTGTTGAGTCACTCACTATTCCACCATTTTTCTGCAATATCGTAACCTGTTAATGAGCACACATTTCGACACCGTAATATTAATTAAATCAATTACTGTTTTCTACCTAACGTCTACACCTGAAGATAAGAGTCGTTCTTGTTTCTTAGCAATATTATGAAATCGAATTACATGTAACATAAAATATGCAAAATAAAAATATAGTTTTATATTACATGCAAAATAATATTTTATTTCTAATGCTACATAGTAAACAATTTGTGGATGTCTGAATCAACAAAAGTATTAGAATTGATGAACAAAACAAAACTACTCAATAAGTGTATTGTAAAAATATCGTGACTTGCTCTATTCTATTAATTTGATTCCAATATACTACGCTACTTATTTACTGATTCAAAACATGTAGTACATAGGCTTTACGAATTGTGAATGATTCTTCTAATGATTCTTCAGCCAAAGATAAAATAAAAAGCATATTTAATAATAAAGATATGATGTTCTGCGAGTAACAATATGATGTAATATTGTGTTCAGTCGATTTAACACAGAAGTGAAGAGTAGTTACATTTTGGATGTCAATAACAATGAATATCGGTTCAAATTTAAAAAAAAAAGCTACTTCTGAATAAAATGAGTTTCAATTAAAAAAGTGGCGTGAATTTCAAATGTAATTTTCTCACTTCGTGATACAATAACTGGCAAATATATTTTTTTGAAAAAACGTTGAATGGAAATTTTTAGCAATGAACATAACATGCTTAAGGACATGCTATTACTCTCTACAGTTCTATTTTTTCTTTCACTGTAAAACTGACTTAAAGAAATTACATAGAAATTACGTTTCATGCATAACGTCACACCTCTATTATCAATTACTTCGTTTTATTCTATCTCATGAATAAATGCAGTAGACTTGCATCTCACACGAATAAAGAAATTACCATTTCACTCTGACGTATACTTTTTCTCTCACCCCTCTTTAAAATTGCCCCTAGACTACATCATTTCACTCACAGATAACCCTTTAATAATCTTTTTCCTAATCTCATCTGCCTTCACATTAACTATACTATAAAATGACCCTGACACAGGTAACCGAAAAATAAAAATGCTCGGATTAGAGAAAATTAACTGGTCATACGAAACTCTGTCAAAGGTATAAGGTTGCCCCAAATGTTTCTTTCGCTTTATTAACACGTTGATCGCCACGTCACCCATATGTGGGTGACAGTAGTTTTCACTCAAGAACTAGACACATTAATTCTGAAAGCTAAGCTTCACAGAAAATGAATTTAAATGAAATTCGTGTATTTTGATGAAGTTACAAAAATAAATACCACGACAGATGTTTGATTATATAGTCTCCAAAAGTCTAAATAATATTTAATCCTAGCAGAAATGTTCAAGAATATTTCTCTGGCAGTCAACGTATTAATAAGTAATACATGCACAATATTTTCTGTTTTATGTTACATTACTGAATTGTGCACGATTCATTTTGCTCCATTACTGTTACAACATGAATACCTATGAAATTACATTGTCTATTTATATAAACACGACCACATAAAATAATTGAGTGCAACTCGCGAAAGAAACTTTCGGAACAATCTAATACCATCCATAAACTGCGAACGAGGATACAGACATAATCTCAGCTCCCCTCGTTATCAAGCCATAGACGCACGTAAAATTCCATTTTCTTAAGAACTCCTCTATCAAAGAGGATAATAATACCCTTTAAGACTCCAAGCAAGCTACGGAAGCCAACGAACTTTTTCCCGTCTTCGCGAAAAACACGTACAATCCTCTCGGAAGTTATTCCTCCCCTCGAGGGACTTACCTCGTCTACGAAAGATCTCTGCTGCATATTGGTCCAGCACATTTTGCACGGGCACGCGTCCTTTTCCTTGAAATTCTCGCCCCGTTCTCTGTCCCGCGTGGTGACCTGCGGCGGCGGGGGCGGTACAGGTGGCGGAAGAGGACTGGTCGCGACCTCGAGGCTATCCGAGCTGGAATTATGACGTCTCGGCGGCGTTATGTTTGTGACGTTCCCCTGGGAGGGCTGCTTCACCTCGGCGGATCTGACGTGATCATTCCCAGACTTTGAGTGCGACGGCGACAGGTAAACGTTCAACATGCACTTGTTCTGCTGCGGCTGGGGTCGCAGAAAGTCGTCCAGCAGGTAGAAGCTCTGAGCTCTGCTGGATCTCGTAGACGCTGTGCGCGTTTCGGCGGCGGGCTGCTCCGTTTTGCAGACACCCTCGCGATTCGGCACCCCTATGCACTCGTCCTCGAACTGATGTATAGTAGGAAGATGTCTCTCTTCAACGTCCCTCTCCGTCGACTCCCCCCCGTCCTGGTACATCCTGACCGTCTTGACTCGGTTCACCTTCGAACGTCCCGTCTGACCAAACTCCCCGTTTTCCCTGTAAATGTCCCTGCTGTAACGCGACGACTTGTAACTCGAACCGCGCGTATCCTCCCGGACTTGATCGGCCTCGATCATGGAAACGCTCATGTTGTGGGACATCGAGTGGTGCACGGCGTGCGAACCGTTGCCCGTGGGAGCCCTGAGCAGGGCGCCCAGGGACCGCCACGTCCTGTCCAGCTGTCTAGTGGAGTTGGACGAGACGGAGGATCTGGTCCACTTCCTGTCGTTCGCTGGGGACGTGAGCGCGCTGTTGCCCACGGACCACTTCCGGTCGTTCGCGGGCGAGGTCACCGCCGGCCACTTTCTTTCGTTCGAGGGCGAGGCCATCGAGGTGCTGGACCACTTTCGCTCGGACGACGACACGGTGGTCGTCGTTGTCAGAGCGCGGTCGTTGGAGCTGGCGTTCAGCTGGTCCTCCCGTTGCCTGGCTTTCCACCACGACGAGGTCGAGGTGAAAAGTATCAGGGCCCCCCTCAGGGGATTCTGGTTCTTCGAGGCGCCTTTCGGCGAGTGCTCGCGGTGGTCCTTAACTTTGAGCGAGCAGTCGCGGAAATTCGTGTCGCACTCACAGTCGCTGAACGCCGAGGCGTCGCGATCCCATAACGCGCTCTTCTGGGCGGCTACCTCTTCTTCGTGGTAAAGGGTAGCGTTCGTGCTTCGTAGACGCGGCCTGACCTTCACGAAACCGTAATCGTTGCTGTCCTGGATGGACTCCAGGGCCTCCACTCGATGCTGAACGGTGCCGGTGTTCGGTTGTAACAACGACGTCTGACCAGAGTACTGATGGTGACTGCCGCTCAACTGCAGGCTGGGCTGTTGCAACAGCGTCGAGGTCCTCGCCCGATGTCCCTCGCCCGCGGTACTGCGCTGCAGACAAGAGAAGCTCGCCGAGTGTCGCAAGCTCGAGGGCGGATTCCCCGGTTGACTCACTCCCAACATCTTTCCCTCTTTGATATAGTCAGTCTTTGATCTCGAAGCGGCGGTGGAAAAGAGATTTCTCGATCGCTGGAGCGATTTCACGGGGACGGACGCGCGCGGACGGATCGATGTGCGCTTTCTAGCTCGTCATTACTCCGGCAGTGATCTTTTTCGATTGTTCCTGCGGCGGCGCGCGACGATAAGAGATACTCGAGGTGTAAACTTCCCTTTCCGTGTACTTTGGCTCTTTCCTGCACATCCTCGATGCGAGTTCTCGTGAACGGGCAGCCGTCACGGTTACATCCTCGTCGGTCTCGGTGCCTTTCGTACCGTACGCAGACGGTTCGTACGAAATCTGTAACAGAAAGTAGGAACAGGATAGGGGCTAGCAAACTCAAAAGAAAACGGCGAACAACAAATCGAAGCGACGAAGCGTGGGGGGGGGGGGTATGATATATATCGTATGATCGAGGGGCGACGTGGCGGAGTTGGAAGGTGGCATTTAAACATCTTTGGAGAAGACAGATGTGGAACTTTAATTAATGGTATGAAATGTGATATGTATGATTGCTCTTTAATTATGATTGTCGAGGAAAGGTAGTTGTTTATTCTTCGTTTCTGTGTGGAGGTAAACAATGTTATACATATGTATTGTAGGTATGTGGTAAGCATTTCTAGACATTCTTGAAGCCTCCTCCAAGTATTTAAATATAAATAATAATTACATCAAGGAAAAACGTATAAACATACATGAAGAGGTATAAACACAGATGTATATCAGAAAGCAAGAGTGAAAAATAGAAAGATCTTTATATTTATATTTTTCAATGTATCGATTTCTGATTTTTACCTGTGTTTATGTCTTTTCATTTAGGTTCAGAAGTCTTTATCCCATTATAATTATTATAGATATGTTAATATCAAAGAAGAGTTATGAAAAGGGGAACCGAAATGTCTACAAAAACTTGACATATCGATTCAAGGTAAGTAAATTTGATTAAAAAATGATTTCTTGCGTCAAATTTATGACCAAAAATGTGGAACCATTTTGTCTGGACCGGTAGAAATCGTACCTAACCATTAAATCTTAAATTTTTAATCGGTTCTTTTTTCCAAATTTGTTTCTCTTTTCTACTCAAATATGAAAAGTTTTCCAAAGTAAAAAAACTCCGTACGTTAATTTACAATAAATTTCTCATTTCCTCATACGTTACAAATATCCTCAAACCCTCAGTGTAATCATGTCACATACATTTCCGCCAATCCAGACATAGTCCACACAGCTAGCCATAACTTCTGCGCAACTCGATATTTTTAAATAAAATTTAGTACACCTCTAGTTCGATACGTGCACCTCTAAATAATACATAAAGCACTCGATGATATTGCATACACATCTTCGAAATAAAAATGTTCAAACGCTATAAAAAGTTCGTCGTCCTGACGTAATCACATAATGAACAGGGGAAAAGTGTATAGTGATGGAAGCGGTATTTTTCCACTTTAAAATGTATGAAAAATGTACGCGATCGTTGATTGAACTTCGGGGAGCACGCACATGGAGGGAAAAGGGGAAAGAACGATGGAAAAATGTTGCAGCGAGGCGATTTGCCAGAGATCGGTGAAGGATGAAGGCCGTTTTGCGGCCGATGCCTCGGGCCAGGCGTCTACTGAAATGCTCTTCGAAAATTCGATTTCCTATTAATGGACCAATACTGTCCCCTGAGAACGCTCGATGAAACACTTACTTATACTCTCAGCCTTGTTACGCAGGGCGAGTCAGTAACTTTCAATAATTCAATAACTGGAATAACTTGTTATTTATTGATTTTACGTAAAGGTATTTCGTGAAAAATATGTTTCACTCGATAGCGATTGGGAAACAGAATCCTTTACATTTTTTTTTATAATATAATAAAGAATATGTAAGTCGTGAGTGATATTAGAATAATGTTGCAAAAAGAATTTTCTTGTACGTATTTCTTTTACCTTGTAAAGGTAAAAGAAAATTGTCTTTTTAACGTAATTGTTTATCATATTATAAAACTGAAGGAAGTACTGAAGAAGACAGTAAATTTTGATAGTTGAAATATCTTTCAAATAAAATGCTTGAGAGAACATGATTTTTTAATCAGTTTCTCCTGAACTCAATAAATAATAAGTTGGTTAATGTGACTGTAGGTACTGACACATCCTGTCAATTTCAAAGACTTACTCATATTTGCACTGCACGAATTTTCTAAGAACGTTTATGTCAGTAGACACCATATGAATCACATGTAAAAAATATTGTTTTTAGTGGCCATGATATATATGGAACAGAGTTGGGCAGTGATTATTCTCTGATTACTATTGCGATAACCATTTACAATTGGCAGATTAATGAGTCATCATAACCTGCGTCTTTAAACTGCAATCGGTAATTTCAAATCTCTCAAAAACGATCGTGTTTGATTATTTAATAATCATTAATCATGATTACTGATTAATCGTTTTACGTACAAGATCACAAAATAGTCTTATTAAGATAATGAACATCATTAATTTCATAGTGACAAAGCTCGTTATTAAAACTGAAACGTTTTCGAGCTTGATCTGCGTTCTGTTCGATACAAATGTTCCGTTTATTGGTAAAAATACATGTTTAGAGTTGTGTAATAAAGTGATTGAAATGTATTCTATAATCAAATTTGATAATCAAATTTATAAAGTATATTACATAATAAAATTAGAAATACGAGTCTTATAATACAATTTCATAATGAAATTAAAAAGAATGTATTTCAAAATAGAATTTAAAAAATATACAGCTTGTGTTGAAACTAAGTTTCACAATATGAAAAATATATTTCCCAATAAACTCCAACAATAAAATTTGGAAACTGCATTCCTACCGATATTATAGAACAAATGTACCCACCAAACAGGACCGACAAGATCGAAATCGATTTAATTTAAACTGCACGCTCGAACTCTACAACCACGAATGCTGTCCATTAACGACGATTAATGATTACTCGATAACCATAATCACGGGTTATATATTGCCCAACACTGGTACGGAGTATTCAATGAAAATTCGCAGCGACGTATGTTTCCATGCTCATCAACTTAAGACTAATGGCAGCCGCGTTAAAAAGAAGCACTGGGGGAGGTTCGAGATACAAGAACACAAACGAAATAAATTCATAGATGATCGCAGAGGTGGTGATTCGTAATTCAAGGGTTATCTACGGTTAGGGTTTTCAAATACATCATTATTCGTGCATGTTTAATTATTCTCCAATTAGCGGAGTTTAGGTCCCAATTAACGCGAGTGACGTTCGTCGAAATCGTCTGGTGGTAGCTCAAAGCTCCCATATTCGTTTCACGTGGTGGCAAATCGCATCATTCTCGAGTGGTCCGTTTGCAAAAAGTTGTGGAGGAAGCGCAAAGCCAACTTTTGGTGTTGCGTCGAGCCCTGGGGCCTTTTTGTGGTCGAGAAACCACTGGGAGGAGGAGCGTTGAATGGACGTCGAGTTCTCGTGCACTATCGAGACGATGGGTTCGACACTCGGACGCAATTCGCGTGCTAATTAAAATTCCCTCGGGTGCGGGCGAGCCAGTGTTAGGTTCGTCGATACGATTCACGTATATGTATGTGCACATTGGTGACATTGGTTGCCTCGCTGGGCAGGTCGCATACTTCGATCCGACAAACGCTGGCACCTGTTTTTTCCTTTACGCAGAGAGGATTAATTAAAAATTGTATAAACTCTAAGCTTGATCATTTTTGGGCTAATTCAATTCTTGAGTGGGGAACACATTAGCTCCTCGTGTATTGTTTTTCTGTTACGTCTGCAAGAACAATTTTATTATGATGTTAGGTATAACAGGAAAAGTGTAGAATCACGATTTTATACCTAAAAACACAATTTGAAAAGGTAAACTGAACACCTAGAAATGATGTACGATTGATTATAATTAATCTATGATTGCTATGTCCATTTATTAATACAAGTAGATACGTGATATTTGAATATTTTTCTGATAGAAAATTATTAATCTAAAAGCTATCATCAACATACTTAGTTTTTATGGAAGGAATTTTGTTTCGTCTATTATAGTTTTGCTTTAAGTATATTATAATTTATTATAATTAATTTATGATTGTAATTGTTCATTTATTAATAGAAGTAGATACTGTGCATGTCTTCCAGACCCCATGTACCTACTTAAGGGATAAGGTCACAATTCCCAAGATTTCAAAATTAACGACTTTAAAATCAAACAAAATAAAAGATACCACATTCTCGTCTATAGTATTACAGTTACTATAAAAAAAAAAACATTTATCCATATATTATGTATTTACTTTCAAATGACTTCCTCAAGATCCATCCTCATAAACTCGTGAGTTTATGGGTATGGTGGGAAATTACATTGATGCAGAATAAAGGAAAAACAATCATAACTGTAAACTATTTGTGAACGGAAGGTGATGTAACGATGGTATTTACAAGAATTTTTCTAGAATAAATTGAACGCACATACCGCAACTGTCCATTAAATTGTTTTATAAGAATAGTTCAAGAGAATGTCATCTAAAGGTTAACATATCATATGGGGATAAATTCCTCCCCCTTTAACTAAATACAATATTATGGCTATGGAAATGGGAATAACGACGAAAATATTTTTGAAAATATCAGAGACTTTTAAATCTGAGTGACAAAAATTTAACGTGAAAAAATATTTTAACCTTATGACATCTTTTGTAAAAACTCTTATGGTAGCTTGTACATAAATATTTCTATAATAGAATAAAGGAAAAATATACAGAAAGTGGTCAAGGAAATGTTTAGGTTACACAAAAAACAATTATTTAAAAGTATGTAACAATATAGAAATAGAATATAGATATAATAGAAATTAAGCTCTTTAATTTAAATTTTGTTAGAATCGAATCGGATGACTCCACCCTGAGTCACGACACTTCACAGTTTCCTATGAAATAGATATTTAAGAATGAATGACTGACCCAGTGACCTATATACTCCCAGAAATGCGTACGCATCACGTAGTAAAGTAGTAAAAATTGTAAAAACATTGTCTAGCGTAGTATTTCCTGGAAAAAGTTGACAATAACCTTTACAGAGTTTGTCTTGAATATTTAATGAGTTCTTTTTGAAAGATTTTTGTGAAACTTGGTATACAGAGGTTTTTCAGGTCGCTGATCCTAAATCTGAATTCAAAATCTAAAAATTCAAGATGGCGGATCCGATATGGCGGACCAAAATACGAAAATTGATTCGATCTGGATGGAACTTGGTGTACACAAGTCTTTGGGTCCGCTAAATCCAAATCTGAACTCAA